AAAAAAAGACAAGAAAGAAGGCTTGCTTGAGAGTGGCTCTTTCTGAGAACCATTTTATATGGGCAGCTGTTGTTGTAACTTTCATTGTGCCAAAATAAAGTTGAGCATAATGATACAAATGGAGTAAAGCTTCCATTTGTTACTGTTAAGAAATCAGGATTGCTTGTGGGGGAAATAAATAACCTGGAGTCCTAGTGTGGCACTCCAGGATAATGTGCGGAACTGCAAAGTCAGTTTGAACCATGGGGGTGGCAGTTCAAACCCACTAGTTGCTCCTTGGGAACCCTATACAGAGTCGCTATGAATCAGAACCTACTCAATGGCACTTAACCAACAACAAAAAGAACCCACAGAAAATATGTATCATTAACATGATTATGCATAAAGATACCATTTCTTCTACAAATGTTTAAATTAGTATGGGTACAAAAAGAACATTGTATCTGAGAAAATAATGTATACTGAATTGTTTTTAAGAAGTATAATGCTTTCCCGATCTGTTCTAATGACTCTTAAGCCTCTTAATAGCTTTGACTGTGTTTAGTTGTCTTACTTTTGATCATCAGTTCTCATGGGTCCTTTGTTAGTTTTTTTCATACTTAAATAAAACTTTTATTTATTTTAAGATAATTCCTTGTCGTTTGTGGTTCAGTAAGTATACAATAATTTCAGGCCATGAAGACCCCTACTGAAATTTGAGAGCATGAAGTCTTTGTAGGTGATTTTATGATAACATTATGTTTGGCCTTGTGATGAATTGTATATGTATATCAGATTTGAGCCATAATAACTACTTGAAATATATTTAGACTTTCATTGTATTTAATCTCCTGGATTGATGAAATGTTAGAGTATAAGAGAAATCCATTTTCCTTCATAAAAATGCTTTATGACGGTTTTCTCTCCCTGTGGTGCTTCCGGATGACCTGATCTTATGTCACATTTAATTGGGTGGAGGATCATTCTGAATATTTCTTTTTCTTCTTGGCAGCATGGGGTAACCTTGGAAATGTTCTGAAGAGTCAGAGTAAAATTTCTGAAGCTGAGAGCGCCTATAGAAATGCTTTGTACTACCGCAGCAACATGGCTGACATGCTTTATAATTTGTGAGTATACATTGCTTTCTGTGGTTGGGTTCATCTTTGAAACCTGCAGTGAGAGGGACTATTGATTTAACTGCTGGAAGTGGAGACAATGATAGCTGATTTCTGCAATAGTCCTTTCATTAATCATGCCTTTGAAACGAATAAGTGGATGGTATTTGTTATTTTTTTATTTGGGACCATATAATTAGTATTCATTTTTATTCATGTATCATAACTGAATTTTTTCAAAATACTATCATAAAGTGCATAAAACTTGGTTAAATTATTTTATACAAGTTAATCTCAATTTA